GTGATGCACGTGCAAGTTCTTGTTTTGCTAATCTAAACCTATTGTGTTTTTTTTGCCGTTCTCGTTGCCCTTGCCGTCGTCGTTGCTTAAGCTTCCTAATCTTACCTTTGGAGAAGGAATGGACACTTTATGTGGAACTTTAAGTCCTTTCACAGCGTTATCCACGAACTTAAACACGAAGAAGTTGCCATCCATACCGGCAGTGAAGACGTACTTATCATCGAAACTCGTCTTGATGTGTCGGACTGAGCCATGTTGATTGTCATGTACGTTGAGTGCCCAGTAAGAGCTTAAATGTTCGAGGTCATTCTTTCCGTCCAAAGGGTGAATTCGGACCACGCCATTTTCCATTCCAAGGAGAAGGAATTTACCTGAATGACTGAAACAAAAAGAGAACTAAAGTTACCGAGGCTGGGTAGTAAATCCTCTGTTAAGCTGCTGGAGAGGAGGAGATAAGGGGTAACGCGTTGAGTTTTCAGGGGGAAGGAGAGATAGGGGATGCTTTCTAAATGGGTTAAATATGACCTAAATTTGGAAACCGCTGAATTTCTCGCATCGGGTCTTTGCGATTTTAGTGAAACTCTGTTCAACGTAACGCACTAATGCGCACTATTTGTAGCCGACTGATTGTCACGAAAAATTGCCGGCAACAGAAGAATTTCGACTCAGACCCCAAAGAGGCGTGGCACTATAACCACGTGACATTTACTCCGATCGCCAAAAATTTTATGCTATATGGTGGATTGATCTATATGTTATCCATGCTATATGTTAGACTTACGATCAAAATAAAGGCGGGGATACCAGAGAGCTTCAAAGTAGGATGGTACCCCCACAAAATAACTGGGTCGAGTCACCTTAACAGCTTGAAGTTAATACAAAACAACTACTTCTTTAATTACGGTGTCAATGTATTCAGCACATAGCACTTACTGAAGATACCGTTTTTAAAATTTCCCCTTGTGGGTTCCACCGCTTTTGTACATAGTCATCCAAGCCGAGCGATGGTCTATCCATTTGCGTGGCAAAGGCGGTAGCTTCTTCCTCAGTTATTTTAAGGCCCTGAGTGTTGGTCCGGTCCTAAGAATCTAGCATGCGACCTCCTGCTGTGCAGGCCAGCGCTATACCAAATAAACTAACGCTTCTACAGTTATATGATTTTTTGGTTAAAACTGGCGCGTGATTATGTCGACAATCAATGAGCATAGCACAATAAAACCAAAGCAGTTACAAAATCACTCCTGGCGCAATGCTAAACTTTTTTCATCTACTCACCTAAAACAAACAGATCTGATTGGTTTATCGTCACTTCCGTCCACGGGTATGGACCTGATTGGTTCATCTCTTGTGTCTTCTTGTCCTTCCGCGGGAGCAGGCTTTTTGCCTTCATCAAACTCACATTCATAAAGGTACCCCGCATCCCAACCACCCTGAAATAAAAAAGCAAAAACACAACGATCAGAGTAACTTCAAAACAGGCTCCTTAAATCAGTGATTTTGTTACCCCTGCGTCCTGCGTCCCTGACGCATAAAAATCCCCAAAGACGCAAAATAATTCATGGTATGCACACTGTAGGACGGACGCAAAGATCCACCCATCGATCTGAACATGTGTATTTGTTGAAGTATCCAGTTCTTGTAATTTCTGAAGCAGTTATCATGGCTGTTGTTTAACAATGCATATTTCTTGTAGCCTTTGTTGAGCTTTATAATAGAAGGACTATATTTTAATTTCCGTATACTGAAATACAGAGTTTTGGAGTGTTTGGTGACATAAAGACCCAAGCATTTTCAACTTCGCACTCGTTTTTTTTTTTTTAACTGGGACTCATTGGTTCCGGAATGAGACTCGTAATTTTTCACAAGATGAGTCCTACAACAAAATCACTGTTAAATGGTGGGGAAGAAACGATGGAGCGAAGACTAGTCCTACGCCGTCTTTCTCTCTTCCCTTCCCTACTCCTTCTCCTTTCCCCTCCCCTCCTTCCTCGTCTCCCTTTCTCTGGTCACTAACACCGTTAATTACTCACAGGTTAAAACGTGGTCAGGTTAATAAACGTTACACCCAACTTGGATTCGAGAGTCTAAAATAGATTTATTGAGAGGAGTGTTGTGTGGTTATAGGGAAAAATAACAAAATTGCAAGCTGTGAGAAAGAAATGCACTCACAACGTTATAACTAAAGGTACCAAGACAAAATATGAGTGGATGAAAGAAACAGGTTGGACACTCTAAACGTAGAGCTACTAGAAGCATCAAGACGAACAAGGGGTTCATCAGCCATTTTGAGATGCACAAGAGACTGGGTCGGTGGTGTCTCGAATTGCACTAAGGGACTGTTTTTTATTATTGACTATTACGAGGTTGCGCGGGAACTGGGTCAAACTTCGTCCCTCAAAACAGTCCATAGGAATGCAATTCAATACACCGCCAACCCAGCCTCCACCACAGCCTAAAATGGCCGATATGTGACACAAATCCTGCAAATTTGGGGGATAAACAGGGCTCGAAAAAAAGTCCCCTGTGATCGTCAAGGGCAAGTAAATTTTCTTCTTCTTGGGCTAGGAACTATTTAACCTCACTTGTCCAATGGTCCAGGAAAGTCATCTGGTAACTAAATCATTAGCTAAGGTAAGGAAGCAAAGGACCCGGACAAGCAACATATGAGAGTTCTTTGCCTAAAGGACAAGCTGGAATTCAAACTTTTTTCGAGCCCTAATAAATGTCCCAGAATGAAAGTTGTCGAGCAGAACACTCTTGCGTGGTATAGTAAAACTCGAGGCGCATAAGATAATTGAGAGTGAGAATTCAAATGAAAGCTTCTTCTCCTATTTTACTGCACAGTTTTTCTTAAATGAATGTTGAGATTATTAAACACCACTCATGGCTATCAAGAGCCCAAAACCCGTAGCGAACGAGCAACTCCCTTGAGCCCATGCAATGACGTTCTCACAGACCAGTTTGTTTTTAGACAAGATCGATTTTCCCGCGAATGTCGAACATCAAATAAGTCTTATAAATCAGTCACCAAAAACTGGAGATCAGAAAAAAAAGTATTTCTGATGTTTTGTTAGCATTTACTCCTTCGTTTTGTAATATTATCGTGCTGTGGGTGCGCACGCATGATGGAACGGTGCTTCCACTTTCGAGGGGAAAAGTGCTCAAAAATGATGCTAAAAATAACTCGATCTGTGAAAAGCCCGATGCATAGGGTAAGCATGGGAGTTGCACACTCCGGGTTATGGGCTCCTGTGGCTATGCATTGAACAAACATCCTACTAAAAAAACCTACCATAGACACCCAGAATTTGTCCTTCTTGCCATAATAAAATCCTTTGATGATTTCTCCTGGTTCGCGGTGCTGTTCTTCCTCGGTTTCCTCACCCTCTTTCTGTTCCTCTTCATCTCCTTCACCTTCCTTCTTCTCTTCTTCCTCTTGTTCCTCTTCATCTTCTAAGCCTCGCGCCCGCCGCCTGGCTCGTTCCTCCTCCTTTTTCTTGCGCTTTTCTTCTTCTTCCTTGGCCTTTCGGGCTTCTTCTTCAGCTTTCTGAAGATCAATAAATGTCAAGGTCGAGTCTGGTCAAACATTCTTTTCACTTATTTTTACTTTATGAGGTCAGCATTAAAATCTGTTTACCTCAAGAAAATGGACAAATACCAGAAATGCGAACTGAAATAGTCCAGTGGACTCTCTCTCTTGCCTACAAGAAGGATATCTCGGTAAAATGGACATCTAAACTTGGTCCCTTCCTTCCTTTACGCCCCTTTATTTGACCCTCTATAGACGGACATCAATGTTAGACAGACTTGATACTGGTCCCAAAGGTGTCCGGCTGTCTTAGGGAGAGCTGACTGTAGAAGCACTCATTCTTGGAAAAAGTTCATTCACGCTTTTTAGTACGTGACAATTGTAGAGTCGATTACTAACAGCTATTCAGGAAATGATCTCGCACTACGCCCCATTCCGCGTCGCTTCTTTTAATGCCATTAGGCTGATTTAGCAACAAGAGTGGAACGTCAGTTGACAACGGGAAAGCGCGCGGAAAGGACTAAACGCGACTTCCGGTGTCCAGTTTACCGCTCTGCCATTGGTCAAACCAGTTGTTTAATTTGCGCGCGCCGTCGTCAACTGACGTTCCCATCCTGTTGCTATATCTGCCTATTGTCGTTGACTACAACGCTTACCCTGAGTTTATCCTTGACGCTTGTGAAGTGGTACTCCTTGGTCTTGAGATTTGTCAGGGGGAGGTGGTAAGTCTTACTTGTGTCATATTTGCCAGGCACGGGAGCCTCGACATGAAGTACGGTTCCATCTTTACAGCTGACGAGTATGCCCTTCGGAACCTGGTGACAAAAATATAAGGCATTCACCACTCAAGAGACGAGAAGGGAACTGGAGCATCACGCAATCGTTTCTGGAATCGTTAATGGCGACGCGCCGGTCCATAGTAACCGTCCCAGAAGTCTTTGCAATAGTTAACTCGGGCCAGCTTCCCTCTCGTTTCTAAAGTAGCGAATTACTGGGATTTCAACAACCTTATTCCAGAGAACCTGGGAACGAGGTTGCGATTTGAATAAACCATTTCCGAGTTATCTCAGGCCCAGGCCTCTATTTCAAAGCGAAGCTAAGTGCGAAGCTTTCGACATGAAAATACTTTTATTTTTATTCTCAAGTAAATAAAACTCATTTCCACCAGAAAGGTTTTGCACTTGGTCTCATTTTGAAAGTGAGAATTTTCGAGTTCGGAAATCGCCTCTTTTTCAAGCTTCTTTTCGCAATAGCTTAAAATTGCACGCATAACCGCGGCGATCATTTCTCCTTTTAATTAAACGTCAACAAATTATGTATTATTTATTTCAAACTGACTTCACTTGCTACTGCCGTACACACTCTCTTCTCTTCTCCTTTACTATCTTAATCTGTGTTAAAATACTTATTGTTTTATAAGACAAACACTATAGAGATATAAACTCATCCACGAAAGATCGAGATAATTCACCTTTCCTTTCTTTTCCGACCATTCCATGGCGACAACCGGGGAGGCAGTTTCAATAAAACCAACGGGTTTGTAAGTATCACCAACGGTGAAGAAAAACACTGTACAGTCATCGCTCTGAAAAGAATAACGTCTCCATGTCAGTGGAAAAACATAAAGACAGTAACATTACTTCATTGTGACATAACTAGTACTCTTTTTGTTGGAAAACCAAGATTTAAAGCAATGTCGACCACAAATATATGTCAGATGTACGATTCTCGTCCCCGCGTGAATAAAGAAATAATAAACGATCATCGAAAATGACTTCTAGTGTGGATGAATTCCTAAACAGATAAATATCTTTTAGATTCGTGTGGACATAGCCTGGTAAAAAAACTTGACACGCGAAAGATTTCCGAGGGGGTCCAAATATTTCGTCCAATGTTCTAACGTTCTCCCAAAAAGGACAAATTTTACATCAAAGTACAAACATCTGTTTTTTACTTCTATTTACATTTTGCTCAAAGGTGTGTGTGTGAATGAGAGATTTACTGCTTAGTTTTTTTTCTTTTGCCTCTTAAACAGTCTAAAATTACCCCAGTAGCCAGAAGTTCGCCTTGCTCATCAACAGCCATAACGTTAACTGCTTTTGTGTGAGGTTTGAAGACTTGTTCGAGATTAAGCTCAAACTTCTGCTTCGACTTTTTAGTCCGAAGCTGTGATGGATCAACCTTGTTTAACGCCAGTAGACGAACCACACCATCAGCAAAACCAGCCAAGAGTTTGGTACCTGTTGTTTCAACCTGAAATACAGGATAAGCAATAGTTCCTTTTAGCTTGTGCGTCTGTTTTGCTATAGAAGGTCATGTAATGACACTCTTATAAGAGAACCGTTTCCTTAAGATTTCGTCTTATTCAAATGCATATGTATGCAAATTTTATTGTCTGCAAACAAACTATCCTATCTATTAGCGGGATATCGTGAAAAGTCACGTGCAACGCGAAAGAAGACGTGGGGCGAGATGCAGGGAAAGAAAGGAGAGCTCTCCTTTGCTCCGCCCCTCGCAGCTTTGCCACTGGCACGCGCGTTCTGTCGCACCTCGCTTCGCTCGCCACTCCAAACGGACAGCTTGAGTAATAACAACCTGGGAATTAGGATTGCGGGCTCCTCTTGTCGCCCGCAATAAGATGGACGTTCCTCCAAGACGGACAAAGTGTTGTTCCTAAGGCTGTCCGTCTTATATACGGGGAGTTGAGTGTATCTGAAAGGTTTTATCAATTAATTAACATAACAGCAACTAGAAACGCCTGGCCTCCTCTTAACATCTACTTCCCGTTCCTCTCCCCAGTCTCTTGGTAAAGTTAGTTTTACACTTACGTCTTTAGGTACCCATAATAAGCTGGAGCCACCTGAGTTGTACTTTGCCTGACACATGGGAGTCTTGGAAACATAGTCATACACTCGCACGGTATCTGCCACGTAAAATAACAGTACATGTTAGTAATAACTAAAGTAAATGTCTTGTAATTTGTTTACCCAACGGGAACGAAAATCTTAAGAGTTAAAAGAACTCGTTTGAATATGTGTAAGCTCGTTCCAGATCGAATTATAATTTGGAAGTGTTGGTTTTTAGGAGTGAGGGAAAACTGAAGTACCCAGAAAAAAATCTCTCAGAGCAAGGGAGAGAACCAACGACAAGCTCAACTCACATACAGCTATTTCGAGGAAGGTTGTCGGAAAAAATGTGCACGCGACAATCCCGAGAGGTAGTATGGGATATGTTCAATACACTGTTCCTGACACTGTAGCTGTCGAGCCTACTTTTGTTGCTTTCCTTTAGCACTCACAGACATATATCCATGGCCTCTCCTGCCATTCTATCAAATTTCTTTGAAAAACAGTGAACTCAAAACCACCCACAATACCTTTCGGGGTTGTCGCTTGCACTTTATCCGACAATCTTTCTCGAAATAGCTGTATACATAATGTTCATGCCAGGAATTTGATCCAGGCGTACTGTTCTACCGTGAGCATGCTATATCGGTATGTGCTACTATGTAGGGAATGGTTTTCATTCAGTTTAGTCTAGTAAGACAAATTTAAAGTTCCCAGAATTAAACAATTATACGGAGAGCACTCATTTACGTTCAGTTCTGCAAGCTTGTGGAACAGATTTCCTGAGGAGCTGAAAGACTGCTCTACCTTGACGTCTTTCGAAAACAAACTTAAGCAAATTGAACTTTGTAAATTGTAATGGACAACCTTTAGTAGTTCCTTAGTTAGTTTATCTTCCAATTTTTTCGCCTATGAATCATGCCTGGAAAAGGTCTGGCATAGACTAAGGATTCCAGAGTCCCAGCAGCAGATCCTTGCCCAAAAGTTCCAAAAGTACCCCACCCCCCCCCCCCCCCCCCCCCCCCCCACACACCCCCCCCCCCCCCCACTCCTCCACCTCCCCTCCCCCCTCTACGCCCCCATCCGTCTTAGCTCCACGCCGTCCGGCCCATTCGTCCCGCGCAGCCGTGCGGTATTGTCAGAACTCTGTGCCAGCGGGTTCAGTGTCGGGTCACGATGTAGCTAGAGACGACTTAGACGGTGAAG